TTAAAAAGACATCAGGGTGATCACTTTGCAAGTTATATAAATGTCTAATCACTATGTATATATCTGAAACTAACATATGTCAACTCATTGAAAAATAAATTTAAAACATTTAAAAAATATTTTTAAAAAGACATTGATTGAAATCAAGCCTTAGTGACCTGGATTTAATATTTTGGCAATAAAAATCTATAATCAGTACATCACTCGATGATAACCATGTCATTCATTCATTCATTCATTCATTCAACAAATACTATTGAATGCCTACTGCAAGCTCAGCTTTTTCCCAGGCCTGTCACAAACCTCCTGCCCCATCGATGCCTGCACTCTAGTGCAGAGAGACGGGCGATAAACCAACCAACCACACTGTACTTAAGTGGTATACAAATACATATACATACGCACACAGATGCACATATACACAGCCGTACATAGCAGATTGTGTCAAGGACGACCTCTCTGATGAGTGACATTTGAGCAGAGGCCCAGAGGAAGTGGGGGAGAACATCAGGCACATATCCAGAAAAAAACCTTGCCAGACGAAAGGAACAGTGAGTACAAAGTCCCTGAGGATGTTTGGTGCTCGGTTTGTTTGAGATCGATTAAGCAGGCCAGTGCAGCTCAGCAGAGCCGGCCGGCCGGGCAGAAAACCACAGGAGAGGAGGTGGGAGAGTACTAGGAGGGAGGAGCCTTGAAGGTCAAAGTGAGGTCTTTGGATTTCACTCTGAAAGCCTAGAACATTCTTTGGAAAGGTGACAGGACACGGCTCTTTAAAAGGAACGCCCTGGCTACTGCACTGAGGACAAACTGCAGGGGGAAGAAGAGGCAGGCACAGAGAGACTTAACGAAACTATGAAACCAGGCAGGTCAGGATGGTGGCTCGAGGGGCAGGGCGATTTTCTCGGGGTCCGTGACAAGTGTACCTATTATGAAGCGGACAAGATGTTGTGCGTATTACGAGGCTGACAAGATTTGCTGGTGGATTACTTGTGGCATGGGAGAGAAAAGGAGGGGTTAAGAATGACTTTGAGATTTTTTTTAGCCCGAACAACTGGAAAAACAGTCTTGATAACTGCTCAGATTAGAAGACGCAGAAGAAGTAGTTTAGGGGCGGGGATGGTGCTGCTGGTAAGCAGGGGTTTGGTTTGAAGTGCTGACTGGAGAGGCAGGGAAGGCCCTGGAACACGCCAGCCTGGATGTCAGGGGAGAGGGAGAGATCTGTACAGGTGGCACCTCGCCACGAGACTGGATGAGGTCACCAGGAAGTGGACGTAGAGAGAGGTGAGGTCTGAGTGTGGGGCACTTGGAGGGTCCGGGGCCAGACGATGAAAGAGACCTCCAGCAATACGACTGGTTAAATGCTCGCTTTAAAGGTGCTTGCAAAAAACTCAGCTGTCCTCCCTCCTCTGTAGGGTCAACTCTCCCATAACCTTTGTTGTACAGATCATTTTTGCAGAAAATGTGTTCTTTGTTGATCAAGTTAGGAGAACTTCCACATTTGCTTTCTTAAGAAATAAGCTTTCGTGGACCTGAACTCGGAGTGGTCGAGTGCTATAAAGAACCAACTAACACGTTAGCCGGCCCTAGCTTTATGGATGCTGGCTGAAGACACGAAACCCCTGGGTCAGAAGCGCAAGAGTTTATCAATCACAGCACAGCACGCGGCATGAGCTTCATAGTTCTGACCGGTTGCCCGTGTCCCCCAAACACCCTCAGAGGGAAGAGAATCAGGTGTGGCTAGAGGCTCCCCTTGCAGTGGGTTTCTGTCACAGCCCAGCTACCCCACGCTCAGGACACCCCATCATTCATAATGGGCTGCAAGCAGACCTGTCCCACCTTTGCTCCAGAGAGAGATGTTTTCTTTATAATACTAGACAGCAAACACGTCAGCCCTCCGAGTTAGTGAGAAATATCATCACAGCAAACAGCCTTACTCTGCCTTATTCTGAAAAGATAATTCAGAACAAAAAAGTTACCGGCACCTCTGTTCACAAGAGATACATGGACAATTATCTGCCAACAAGAGCAGAGATTGTTCAGTGGTGCATCTTGGAGAATTTATGAGCCCTTATCCTGTTCCAGTTAGGAATTCAAAACCTTAACTATTTAAGAAAATCAAAATTATATTTACTTGACTAGACAACACTTTAACCTGGTACAACAGTCAAAACATAAAATACTCAGGATTACAAAAGATGGTATAAAGTGGTTTCTCATTTGTTGTGAGAAAGGAGCACACTTCCATCACACCGATTTCTTCTTGCATCCTTATTAATGCTGCCCTTTTAACCAACTTTCAAATGACTAAGATTCCCTGAATGGGTATTAAAAGCTCAGCTCTTAGGGGATATAAAAAAACTACTTTTGTATTATTGGAGTTTTATTAGTCTTCTACTTAAGCCCCCACCCACATCTGGTTGGCCCATGCGAGCCCAGATGACAACGCTAAGGGCCGAATCCAGCGTAAAAATACTAAGTGGTGGTAACATTTTAACCAAGAGCTGCCTGGGAAGAGGCTTCGGCACGGTTCTCTTATCTGTTGTATCTGCCAGACAGGCGTGTAGCTCCGTAATCAATGATACATAGCTTTACTCACAGTCTTTCTTCTCAGAAGATCGCGTTTCTGTCTAGTTACAATCTGAGGACATACGTCATAGTAAGCTCCTGATAAATCTTGTTGACAAGCTAGGCCCATCAAGCTTTGAAACGTGACTAGTGCAAATTAAGGTGTGCTGTTAAGCTAGTATGAAAAAATGATAAAGAGTATCAAATATCCCAATAATTCTTATACTGATTGCATGTTGAAAAAATATTTTGGGTATATGGGGATAAGTACGATGTATTCTGAAAATGGACCTTTTTACATTTTTAATATAGCTATTAGAAAATGTACAATGTGGTTCATATCATATTTCTATTGGACAACAGGGCTCTAGGATCTTGGGGAAAAGGCATAAACTTGCTAGAATATAAGGCAGGAAGAACTTAAGCCACTTTCTTTGGATATGAAAGAAAAGGAAGACCCCAGAAAGTTGGAGACACAAGACAGCAGATGTGGACAGATTCAGTATGAGAAAACCGAAATTTATAAGAATAGATGGCGTTTATTTTAGTAAAGTTGTGTTAAATTAAAAACAATTCTTACAGATAGCAAGTGCTCTCAAAATACAATGCAATTTATACAAAAATTCAACTTTTCAGAAACACATTGACATGACACAAAGGATATAGCACAACTCTCCAACATAAACAACTTACACTCGATCCTTACATTGAAGCTAGAAGAATAAAAAGCAAGGAAGCACCTACCCCACAGGGGCAAACAAACACCTTGACGTACCGAACAGGGACTACCCAGACTCGGGACTAATGCTTCGTGCTTCCAGTGACAAATACAAAATGCACGGAGGGCTGCAATCATTCCCGGATTTTATTTACTTCCTACCAAATTTACCCCTGGAGACCTGTCTCAGGAAATTTATGAGCAAAAACTAAAACAAAATACAATGCTCGACTCCAAGGTAGATAAACTGGTTGTAACCAGAAAACATTTGTGCCCTGACATGCTCCCCAAGGGGCTGTGATCCGGGGTCTCCGGGCTCTCCCTTACACACAGGACGGTGCTGTGTATACGGAGCCGGCAAACCTCAGACTGGGTCGCGGAAGTATCACACGGTCTAGTCTTTTTATTTTACAGAGTAGGACAGGGAGCCACCGAGACACAGGGAACGCGCCTGAGGTCACAGAGTTGCTTCGAGGCGGTGGCTGGACCCAAGCCACACAGCATTGCAGCAGGGTCTGCACGCTGGGTGTGGCACTGATGCTGCCTGGCCACCGACATGGGTGGTCTGAGAACTGGGGATTTTTCATCCTTACTCAGGGGTTTCAGGAGGATTAAAGACCCTCTAGCATGCACATGACAGCCTTTGGTAATCTTCGTCACGCTCAGTGGGAGTCAGGCTCATGCCCCTTTTCCCCTTGCACCTTCTCACCCGAACCATAGCGCACTTTCTCCTGAAAAGCTGATGCTCAATGAAAGAGACAGCTGTGGACGTCAGAAAAGCCCCGCCCCTCCTTTCTTCACGTATTTGAGAGTCTCTAGGCTGCCTGGAGCCTACCCGACAGCTCCCCACCGTGGATGGATGGATGGCTGAAGATGGCAAGGGGGAGCCTTTGTGCCCCTAGAGACCTGAAATGAATTCTGGTTTCCAGGGATCAGGGTGGGTACCACGTGCAGAGCACAGAGTGATGCCGCAGAGCAGGATCATGGTCTTGTCCCTGCTCTACCTCTCCTCCTACATCCTTCAGCCCTAACCTAAGCCACTCAGACATGCCCTCAGCTCATGGCCTATTTCTCAAATAAGCACAAAGAACTATGCCCCCTTCTTCCCCACTCAGCCTGGCCGTGGCTCTGTGCATGACAGGTCAGCATATTTGATATCAAGATTCCGACAGCCATAAGCCCCACAAGGGAGGCTTGTTAATGGAAATCAACCTCCAACTGGTAGCTTCCTGGATGGGAGGGACTTTTCTGCTTGGAGGCCTTCCAAGTGTTCTTGCTTGATTCTTCTCAACACACACACACACCCCATGCTCCACAGGGCACCCCAATCTTACAAGCTTTCCAGCCCCTCCTATAGGTAATAGCTTCTGGGACAAATTTACATTGTGGTAGCAGTCCCTCATTTCATAGGAAAAGATATAAAAAGTACAAAATGCAGAACTGCATTTTCACTGTGCCTCTACAATTGTCCCCTGTCCCAGGACCAGGAACTTCAGTAAACACTCAAAGGCCTGTTATCCGGCCTTTGGGTGTTGGGGTGACTCGGTTTCCCCCTTGAGTCTAATCCAATCCCTGCCTAGGGAAGGTAAGTGATTCCTGGGCTTCTGAGCATGTGCGGTTATCATCCGGTGACTTGGTGTAGAGTTCGGGGGCGGGGCAGGACCCCAGGCAGGCCCTGCTAGTGACATGCCACTAAGCCAGGAAGGAGGCACCATACCTTTGCAGGTGAAACATTTGATGTGGAAATGTTTGGTCTGGACCCGCAGCACTTCGCCCTTGCACGGTTCCCCGCACTTGTGGCAGTGAATGACAGGCTTCTCGGCCGGGTGGTGAGGGTCCTGAGGGTGTGCCACTGGAAGGAAAAGGAAAGACCTACGTGAGCAGGAGGAAGTCCTATGAAAGAGGTCGTCATGCACGTGCATAAATATCCGTGTAATTCTGGTATCAAATGAGCCGTGCATGAATCCCTGAGTATGCACTGAGCCCCTGCCCCCATGCCGGAACCACGAGGATGCACACCTTAAATAAAGCTGTGGCTTTAATGGTCCTGTAGGGAAAACACAGGGCTGCTTCCCACCGCACCCAGCAGCTCTGCCTTCCTCCCAAACTTCTCTAGGTCGATGTAACCAGGTCATTCAATACATGATCTTGTTCAGTTCAATGTTTTGTAATAGGTCTTTAAATTCACACACTGTAAATTCCTTGAGGATGGGGACCATTGCTTACATTCATGTTTTTTCTGCCCATTTGTACTTTTCCATCCTTCACCCAGCTCCTCAGAACACAGAAGAATGTTCACGCGCCAAAGGACTCAGTAAATGTTTATTTACTTGGTACATGCTGGCTAGCTTCTCATCTAGCTTCTCATCTACTGCACCCGAGACAGTCCTGACATTACTTTGGCAACTTGTTTAATCTTCTACAGGCGTGTTATGAGACTCCTACTATGTGCACAGTTCCTGATACAAACATTGCAGGCAGTAGTTTAAAAAAAATCGGTAACCACGTGGCCTTCTCTGAACCTCAGTTTCCTCTCCTGCAAAACAAAGGGGGCTGGGCCAGGTGATTCCGAAGGTCTTTGCAGGCCCTGAAATCATGGATGGGGCTGCAGAGACTGGCTTCTCAGTTCCCAGAGTGGCTGGCAGACAGCACTGCTGGTGCCCTGTGGGGGAGGGGCGGGGGGCCCATACAATGTACAGCCTCCTCTCTACAAACCGCAGAGAGCCATCAGCGAGAGAACACCTGTGGCCTTGATTTAGCCACGGGTCCTCATTCACCCTGCCGTTTCTCCAGCTAGAGAAGGCAGAGGCCCCTTTTGCTACTAAGTTCCTTTTCTGATCTGAACCGTGTGCCATACCAAATGTTTTATATAAGTAGCTGCTTGAGTGTGATGTGGGACAAGAACAATGAACCTAAAATGAATCAACCTCCACAAAGAACAAAGACGATTTTTTTTTTCTCACACAGTAAAACTGAATTGGACGAGGGGGAGATGTGGGCAGATATTCCTGAAACTGAACTTGGAAAAGCACCTATAGCCAGGAGCTCGCGTCCACTGCAAGCATAATAGCTCCTTGTTCCCCTCAGGCCACGGTCATGTTCTCATTCCGCCTGGAAAGAGCTTGAACAAGACAGTCCAAATAGTCCATTATCAGCTAAATTCTCAGAAACAAGGTTCTTCTTGTGAGATTGAGAGGAGGAACAGGTGTTGTTTTGTGCTGAACACCTGATCCGAATTCTCTGCGCTGGACCCCGGGAGTGTCCGGCAAAAGTACCGACATTGCCTTACACCTGCATTTCCTTATCTGCCCGCCGGGGCCTCTCTTGGGAGCCCGTGTCTGCAACAGAAGCCAGGGTGATCTGAAGGGGTTAAGGAGAAGCATCCTTTCGAGATCTCTACACAACCACTGATTTTTAATGTCATCTGGACATTAAAAAAAAGTTTCTGCTAACAACGTGTGCTTCAAGTGCTAGTGGAGAATATGTGAGTGTCTCTTTTAAGTTAATTCCTGCGTCTGCACAATTCACAATGGCCAAGAGCTGGAAGTAACCTAAGTGCCCATCAGTAAACGAGTGGATCAAAAAACTATGGTACATTTATACAATGGAACACTACACAGCAGAGAGAAAGAAGGAGCTCCTACCCTTTGCGACAGCATGGATGGAACTGGAGAGCGTTATGCTAAGTGAGGTAAGCCAGGTGGTAAGGGGCAAATACCACATGATCTCACCTTTAACTGCAACATAATCAACAAAAGAAAAAGGCAAGCAACATATAATCGGAGACACTGAAATTAAGAACAATATAACAACAGCCAGAGGGGAGCAGGAGGGAACGATGGGGGAAGGGTTTTCAGGAACAACTATAAAGGACACTTGGACAAAACCAAGGGGGAGGGGGGAAGCAAGGGAGGGAGGTGGGTTTGGCTGGGGTGGGGGGGAGTGGTGGGGGAAAAATGTGGACAACTGTAATTGAACAACAATAAAATAATTAAAAATAAATAAATATCCCTGGCTGGTGTAGCTCAGTGGACTGAGCGCGGGCCTATGAACCAAAGGGTCGCTGTTAGATTCCCAGTCAGGGCACGTGCCTGGGTTGCAGGCCAGTTCCCAGCAGGGGGCGCTTGAGAGGCAACCATACGTTGATGTTTCTCTCCCTCTCTACTTCCCTTCCCCTTTAAAGATAAATAAATAAAATCTATTAAAAATAATAAATTAATTGATTAATAAATAAAGATCAAAGGCAAAAAAGCCCCACATAGTTACATTGTAGTTATCACCACAATAAATTTTTCTATTTTAAAAAAAAGTTAATTCCTGCTTCCTATAAGAATGGAGGAAACTACTATTTACTGAGCATCTACTAAATACCAGGCACAGTGTTAGGTGCTTACACAGAAGTCATTTCATTACGTCCTGTCTCTCCTCATCTCTCTCCCTCCCTCTCCTCTCCTACCACCCCGCTCCCTGTGAAGTGGGTAATATTATTCCCATTTGACAGATGAGAAAATAGAGCCTCAGAGAAGGTGAACAGCCTGCCCAAGTAACAGTAAGCTCAAAGATCTACGGCCAGGTCTTTCTGACTCCCAAGTTCGTGCTCCTGCCATCCTATGTGACTAAATCAGAAAATTGTTGTAAGTCGGGTGATGACTGTTATAAGTCAGGCAGTAATTTATTTAGCGGAGGTCAAGCTCAAGGGCAGTTCTAAAAGTGGCAGCTAGGGCTCGGCTTACAAAGGGAGCAGACACAGTGTGTGCAACAGTCACGCAGCTGGGCATGGCACCCACGTGTAATCCTCCAGGTGGCTCTGCCTATCCCAGCAAACAGAGCCCGTGTGCTGGCCACACAGGAAAATGCAGGCACCTCAGCCCCACCAAATGGAGCTGGAGATGTACTGTGTCAGTGAGTTCCTTGGGTGATTCTTGGGCATGCTAGACTTTAGGAACGATTTTCCTTTAGAATTCAGACAATATGGCTGAGAGCAAGCTGCAGACAAGAGTGGGGGTGAGAGAGGAATCCACGAGACCAGCCTCTCTGGAAACAATGCTGCACACAGCAGGACTCCGGATGACAAGGGAGAATGCCTTTTCGGATAAGCACTAGCACTGCCGTTTCTCTCAACACTCGAATTTTTTATAGCTAAGCAAGCGGCCCATGCTGAGTAATGATGAGGAAAGGAAAATATCGTTTCACTCCTTGGCTCTTTCCCTTGTCTGAACGAAGGTGCCAGGGCCACTGCTGGCACCGGCTGCAAAGGTCAGAACTGGGCTCGGCATCTGCGTTTTGCAAGCATTTCCCTCTGGAGACACATTTGACACTGTGAAGTCCTCCAGGCCCAGAGACGAACTTTCGCTCTCACTCCGAGATGAGCAGAGACTCTGCCGCATTCGCCCACCTCTCCGTCGTCCCGTCAACCCAGGCAGACACACGTCAGAACACCCTGCCTGAGAAGAATCGGGCTGTTCTTACCCGAGAATGACAGAGCCCAAAGGCCGACAGAGACTCAGTGTTTATTTCATCCCAATCAGATTGGTGTAGACAAAAGACTCTCTCTCCTTTTCAAAGATTAATAAAGAGGTTCAATTTACATAACAGCGTTTGGCAGTTTGGTTTCTACCAAAAGTATGTTCCTTGGCTCAATTCTACATTTTTGAAATATGCCGAGTCAGTTGCAGTATAGCGGCGACATTAATTCCACGTTCCTCTTATTTGCCAGCTGGCTCTACCGCTCATTTTTACTTAATCTCTCCATCTTTCAGAGCCCGGGTGGTCCCTGCTTATTCTACTGAGAAGGAAAATGAGGAGCAAAGAACTTATCTTCCTTACCCAGAGTCACCAGTGAGCGACTGGCCGGGCACTCGGGCCTCCCGGCGCTGGGGCAGACGCGGTTAACGCCCTCCACGGCTCCTCAGTGCACTGCTAACACAACAGTAGTAACAACGAAAAACCAGAAGCGTGGCTGGACACTTCCTGAATAACGAGGAAATAATGTGGGGAGAGCCAGCAGTGTATTTGTCTGAAAAGGTAAAGCAATTCCTCCACTGCCTCACATCCAGTTTGCAGGGACTCCGCCCACTCAGGGAAAACAGCCTCTGACAAGGCTGGGAAGTTTCACACTGTCTTTCACAGTCAAGAGAAATGGTCATATCCCACCGAACCTCCGGTGCCCAACAGGAACCAAAGTTTCATTTTGGATGCATTACTTTTGAAATGCCTATTCGATGTCTCCGGTGATGAGACTGGGGGAGTCAGACCATTAAGGAAATCCCAGAAACCTTCGGTGCCCCCAAGAGGAAGGTCACAGAGATTCAGCAGAGCCCTTCTTCCTAGTCCCGAACCAGCGTCCTCTTGCCCGAGCTACTTCCATTGCAGTGACAACCCCTGGGGCTAGACCAGCAGAAACAGAACATCTGAGAAGGCATGCTTGAAATGCATCTTCTTAGCAGGTGACTGTCACAAACCCATGACTACTCCGTGTGAATTACAACTTGCCCCAGGTTCCCTGAAATACTCAGAATCCCCCAGGTATCAAATGCCTCTTCCCAAGTGCCCTTCTCTCTCAATAGCATCATCGCTGCTTCACTCAGCCTTTGAAACCACGCCCGAGCCGTGTGCGTGATACATCTGCATCATCTCGTTTTACTCTCACGAGAGCTCCTCGGGGTGGGAAGAACAGGACCGCTAACCTCCTTTTACAAAGGGGCAACTGCAACTCAGAGGAACAGAGTGATTCAGCCCAGGTGACACAGCCAAGAAGTGCAGAATTGACAGTAAACTAACGCGGTGCTCGCCACACCCAAACAATCCCCTAATCAGTGACGCCTGGAACCTAGCTGTCACCCTGGATTCTGC